CATATTAAAATGACCTATCTGAATATATACTTCATATCAATGTGCCCAGTTCCTGCTGAAGTTTATGAATTTGTATGAAAAATTACTCGTGGGATGCACGGTTTATGGCACCCTCTGCTGTCATGCTTGCAGGTCGTGACCGACTGAGTTATGGTTTTACGACTGGCCAGAGGAAAGTGTTTGTCAAGCAGACATTCTGGAACCAGGCTAATTAGGGATTTACAGCCATGATATGCACTTTCGACCCCAGGTCGTTTACAGACCACATTCCAAACAAAAGGGAGGGGGACGGAGGAAGACAAAATGGTAGATCTTTACAAAATGGTTGCCAGCGTCCATGTGTCTAAGTGCACAATTGCCACACCCCTGTTTTTTTGTTTTTTTTTTGCCATCTGTGACTCATTGGGGAGATTTCCCTTCACTTCCTGTCCCAAAGCCAAACAGGAAGTGAGAGGAAATCCCTTCTAACTAAGGGAATTCCTTGGGGATCCCCAGGTCACCAGAACTAGTGTCCCATTTAAAGATTTCCCCTCTTTCTTTTTTGGGGACAACCTAAAATATGTGATTTTTTCTTCCCTCTCAATAATGGTGAACAGGACAAATAGAGAGGGTGAATCTCCCTAATAGGGGGCACAGACAGCAATAAAAGCTGACAGGGGTTCTCATCCCTCTTTACTCTGTGTAAAAAAAAAAAAAAAAAAAAAAAAAAAAGTTTTGCTTTTAACTGTGGGAAGCCAAATGTGACTCCTTGTGTCTCCACAACCAGCTGTGCATGCGCAAATCACACTGCACCCAGACCTCTGACATGTCCCAAAAGGCAGCAGCGGAAGGGGGGAGAGGAATTTCCACTCCATTCACCTTGGCGGCCGGAGCGGAATTGGAAGCGGGTACTTGTCAAAATCAGGTACCCATTGCCGCTCCCCTCCCAAAAGACACTCCAAACATGGGAGAGGAGGAAATGCAGAACTTCCCCTCTTGGGTGAACTTCTGCTTTAAGAAAGAGGTTTGCTTCATCAAACTTGACTCAAACATCATGCAGAGTTTTCCAGCTTTATTAAAGTGGTTGTGAAGGCTCAAGGTTTTTTTTTTATCTTTTATGCATTCTATGCATGAAGGTAAGAAACCTGTGTGCAGCATCACCCTCAGCCCCCCCCCCCCCCCCCAATGCTCACCTAAGCTCCCTCTTGATCCAGCTATCCCAGGACTTCCTCTTCTCATTGGCTGAGACGGATGCAGGAGCCATTGGCTTCCACTGCTGTCAATCACAGCCAGTGAGGCAATGAGGAGAGAGAGGGGGTGGGGCTGAGCTGCGGGACACACAGAACTGTGGGTGCCTCTATAGCAAGTTGCTTACCGTGGGGGCAGCAGACAGGAGGTAGGGGCCAGGAGAATGTGTGGGGGACCCGAGAAAAGGAGGATCCAGGGTTGCTCTGTGCAAAACCACTACACACAGCAGGTAAGTATAACATGTTCTTTTTGTTTTATGTATTTTTTTTTATGTACTGCTACAGGGCGGCAGGGGTGCGCAAAATCATATGTGTGTGTGTGTATATGTATGTATGATTTTGCATTTCTGGGTAGGGGGCGCGCACATACCTGCGCCACCATTCGCAGCTGTGGTTGTCAATCACCAGGTCCCAGCCGGTGATTACCCGCCAGCGCCCGGTGATTACCGAGCATCTCCGACAGGAAGGAGGACTGCTTTGTTTACTAACAGTCCTCCTTCCTGTTGGCTCAGGCACACTGCTCTGGATGGCTGTGTCATCCAGAGCAGTGTGCTTACAGTGAAGCACACAGACACCTCCCCCATAGTAAAATGCTCCCAGCACACAGTTAACCCTTTGATCGCCCCTCATGTTAACCCCTTCTTGCCCAGTGCCATTAGTACAGTGTCAGTGCTTTTTTTTTTTTTTTTTTTCTTTTTTTTTAATAGCACTGATCACTGTATTGGTGTCACTGGGAATGTCAGTGACACCAAGTCAGTTCCCCCCCAGTGTGAGAATGCCCAAATAGTTTTTTTTTTTTTTTTTTTTTTTTTTTTTATAGCTCAAAAAATAAAAGCCACAGGTGATCAAATACCACTGAAAGAAAGCTCAATTTGTGGGGAATAAAAGGACGTAAATTTTATTTGGGTGCAGCGTTGCATGACCGCACAATTGTCAGTTAAAATAACGCAGCACTGCAACACAAAAAATGGTCTGGTCATTAAGGGGGTAAATCCTCAGGAGGACAAGTGGGCAGGGGCATGAGGCCAGACGTATCGGCGAAGGACTCCAGAAATGGAGGATCAGGGCTGCTCTGTGCAAAACCGCTTCACCGAGCAGGTAACTATAACCTGTTTGTTATTAAAAAAAAAACAAAAAAAAAAAACCTACCTTTTTAATATCACTTTAAGCCCCCTTGCAGTGGGGCAGAGAAATAAGCTATAATACTTGCCTTATTATTTGCTCCAGCCAAGAATTTTCATACAATTCGTACCATAACTACTACTAAATGAAAAAAAAAATTGCCTTTAATATCACTTTAAAGTGATTCTAAAGGTTCAGCTTTAAAAAAAATAAAAATAATATAACAAACCTGTTATACTTATCTGCTCTGCGCAGTGGTTTTGCACAGAGCAGACCCAATCCTCCTCAGGTCCCCCACCAGCACTCCTGGCCCCTCCTTCCTACCGAGTGCCCCCAGATCATACAGCTTTTTCTACGGGGGCACCCAAGCAGGTTCGCTCCTAAGTCACTGCCCTGCGTGTCCATTCACACATAGAGCTGTGGCTCGGCCTCGGCCCCTCTCACTTCTCATTGACTCACGGGCTGTGATTGACTATTGGCTCCCGCTGCTGTCTCAGCCAATGAGGAGAGAGCCAATGCTTTTGTGCACATCACTGGATCGTGATGGGACTCGGCTAAATATCGGGGGGGCTGAGGGGGGAGCTGCACACAAGTTTTTTTTTTTTGTTGTTCTTTTTTCAGCCTTTAGGCTACGTTCACACTTGATTTTATTTCTAACTCTTTCCAAACGCCCCTATAGCATTAGACAGGCCTTTGGGAAGCGTTAACGCTCCCCAAACGTCCTGTGTGCGGTTTTGAGGCATTTGATAGGCGTTTGCCAAGCGTTAAAACCGCACCACAAATGCCTATAATGAAGTTAAATTGTATTAACGCTCCGCAAACGCCTCGCAACCGCACCGCAAACGCCTGCCAGGCGTTTGAGGAGCAGCACCATAGACTTGAATGGGAGCCTTCAACTCCTCCTGACTCAACATGAGGCACCAGTTTTGACCTGACACTAACGCTTCAGTGTGAACAGCACTGTGTGCTGCCATGTGTAGAATTTTCATAGGCGTTTGAGAAGCGTTAAAAATGCTTCCCTGACGCCTGCTGACAAAGCTAGTGTGAACGTAGCCTAACTCCTGCCAATGCCCCTATAGCGTTTGACAGGCCTTAGACAGGCGTTCGGGAAGCGTTTTAACCACTTCCCGACCGGCTGTTGTATATAAACGGCCGGATGGTGGCACTGCAGGGTCGGGTGGGTGGCCGTGCCCGGCGATCCGGTGCCCGCTGTGTCCTCCAGACACAGTGAAACATCGATCGTCGGACGGGACCTCTGTGTGAGGTCCCGATCATGTGATCACTGATTGGCCAATCGGTGATCACATGCAGAGTAGTAAGCAAGATGTCACTTCTGACATCATTGCTTACTACGTGTGAAATCTGTGAATGATTTCAGAGGTCACATGATACAAGGCTATTCACAACAGCCTTGTACCATGTGACAAGCTGTGACCAATCACAGCTCACACAGTACTTCTCTCAGAGTGCAAGAATGCAGACAGAGAGAAGGAGAAATTATTGCTTTTACATCCTATATGGGTGTAAAAGCAATCAGTGTAAAAAAAATAAAATAAAATCTTCACCCCCCCCAAAAGTAGTACAGTGTCACCATGGTGACACTGTACTGCTAGGGTGACAGTATGTAAAATAATATAAAAAAATAAATAAAAATGTAATAAGAGTGTTTAAAAATTATAATTTTTGGTTATAAACTAATTTTGGCTTTTTTTTTTTTTTTTTACTAAAAAGATAACGGAATAAATTTTGGCCAAGATTTATGATGAAATATTTATTTGCAAAATTTTATAAGACACTTTTTTTCAAAATTTTTGGACATTTTCATTTACATAGCAAAAAAAATAAAAATCCCAGCGGTGAATAAATACCACCAAAATTAAAGTTTTATCTGTCTCAAAAAAATGGTAAAAAATTCATATGGGTACAGTGTTGCATGACCGCGCAATTGTGCCATTCAAAGTGTGATAGCGCTGAAAATTGGCCTGGGCAGGAAGGGGGTGAAAGTGTCCGGACTGTAAGTGGTTAAAGCTCCCCAAGTGCCCTATGTGCGTTTTTGAGGCGTTTTATAGGTGTTTGCAAAGTGTTACAAATGCACCACAAATGCCTATAATGAAGTTTAATTGTATTAACGCTCCGCAAACGCCTGCCAGGTGTTTGAGAAGCGTTACCATTGACTTGAATGAGAAGCTTCAGCTCCTCCTGACTTGACATGAGGCATCGGTTTTGCCGCTAACGCTTCAGTGTGAACAGCACTGTGTGCTGCCATGTGCAGAATTTTCATAGGTGTTTGAGAAGCGTTAAAAACGCTTCCCAAATGCCTGTCTGACGCCTGCTGACAAAGCTAGTGTGAACAGAGCCTTGCACTTTCACTTTCAGCACTTTATTCCTGATATATTTTTTTGGTGAAGGTAAAAACCCCATTTACATAAATTTCAATGTAATGTCCTTTTATCAGTGATCTCTTCTATCACCAGTGAGCTGTGTTTTCCCTGCTCTTGTCATGTGCTCTGTTAGGCAGATAAGAGAGATGTAAGCAGGATATAGCAGAAAGGCGGCCTTTGTGTGATTGCAGTGTGTGCTTCTCCTGATACTGACTCATCACATGCTGCCTCTCCACCCCACAGATCTGTCGAGGTTTCTTTTCTCTCCACCATGGGAGCCATCAAAATCCCGGACTACAACTGGTTTCGAAGCACGGTCCCGCTGAAGAGGGTATGTCATGTTTAAAGTGCCTCTTTTGCCTCTTTCTCTTTTTTTTTTTTCCTTACTCCATAAGTTTAAACATAGATATATGCTACAATGAATTGATGAGATAGTTACTTTGTAATAACACATCTACATTTCTAGACCGCTTACAGCTATTATGCAGATTTTAATGTTGCTAAAATTATTTATGCATTTAAACTCATGAATTATACATTAAAGTGGATCTAGACGGCATCTGAGCACCACAAATCAAAAATCCTTCTTAATCTAACCACAGCTTACAAAGCCATCCCAACACTGCCCCCAGCTGCATCGCAAACCTCATCCACAGATATCGCCTTCCCATAATATCTTCCTCTCTAGGTTCCCTCATCACCTCCTCCAGGACTTCTCCAGAGCCTCTCTCATTCTCTGGAACTCCCTACCACAGCATGTCCGGTCAGCCCCCACCCTGTCTGACTTTAGGCGATCTTTGAAAAACTCACTTCTTCAGGGAAGCCTACCCCACCTCCACCTAAGAACTGTACTTGAATCACCTCCTAAGAACTGTACTTGAATCACCTCCGCCTAAGAACTGTACTTGAATCACCTCCGCCTAAGAACTGTACTGTACTTGAATCACCTCCGCCTAAGAACTGTACACCTTGAATCACCTCCGCCTAAGAACTGTACTTGAATCACCTCCGCCTAAGAACTGTACTTGAATCACCTCCGCCTAAGAACTGTACTTGAATCACCTCCGCCTAAGAAACTGTACTTGAATCACCTCCGCCTAAGAACTGTACTTATCACCTCCGCCTAAGAACTGTACTTATCACCTCCGCCTAAGAACTGTACTTGAATCACTGTACTTGAATCACCTCCGCCTAAGAACTGTACTTGAATCACCTCCGCCTAAGAACTGTACTTGAATCACCTCCGCCCTAAGTAACTGAATCACTCCGCCTAAGAACTGTACTTGAATCACCTCCGCCTAAGAACTGTACTTGAATCACCTCCGCCTATGAACTGTACTTGAATCACCTCCGCCTAAGAACTGTACTTGAATCATCACCTCCGCCTAAGAACTGTACTTATCCACCTCCGCCTAAGAACTGTACATCACCTCCGCCTAAGAACTGTACTTGAATCACCTCCGCCTAAGAACTGTAGAACTGTACTTATCATCACCTCCGCCTAAGAACTGTACTTATCACCTCCGCCTAAGAACTGTACTTATCACCCTCCCTAAGAACTAAGAACTGTACTTATCACCTCCGCCTAAGAACTGTACTGAATACTTGAATACATCCTCCGCCTAAGAACTGTACTTATCACCTCCGCCTAAGAACTGTACTTGAATCACCTCCGCCTATGAACTGTACTTGAATCACCTCCGCCTAAGAACTGTACTTGAATCACCTCCGCCTAAGAACTGTACTTGAATCACCTCCGCCTATGAACTGTACTTGAATCACCTCCGCCTAAGAACTGTACTTGAATCACCTCCGCCTAAGAACTGTACTTGAATCACCTCCGCCTAAGAACTGTACTTGAATCACCTCCGCCCTGTACTTGAATCACCTCCGCCTATGAACTGTACTTGAATCACCTCCGCCTATGAACTGTACTTGAATCACCTCCGCCTAAGAACTGTACTTGAATCACCTCCGCCTATGAACTGTACTTGAATCACCTCCGCCTAAGAACTGTACTTGAATCACCTCCGCCTAAGAACTGTATCTTGAATCACCTCCGCCGCAGTTATCGCCGCCATCACTTTGAACAACACTGCCCCTAAGAACTACATCACCTCCACCAACCTTATCCACAGATATCGCCCAAATCGCCCACTCCACCCCTCCCCATGATATCCTCCTCCTCTCTAGCTCCCTCGTCACCTCCTCCCGCGCTCGCCTCCAGGACTTCTCCAGAGCCTCTCCCATCTCCCCCTGGAACTCCCTACCACAGCATGTCCGGTCAGCCCCCACCCTGTCTGCCTTTAGGCGATCTTTGAAAACTCACTTCTTCAGGGAAGCCTACCCCACCTCCACCTAAGAACTGTACTTGAATCACCTCCACCAGATCATCTCCCGCAGCTATCACCTTTTGTATCACCTCCCCCTTCCTTTAGATTGTAAGCTCCACGAGCCGGGCCCCCTATTCCTTCTGTACTGAAATGTATTGTAATTTGTATCATCTCCTTTATATTGTAAAGCGTTGGGCAAACTGTTGGCGCGATATAAATCCTGTATAATAATAATAGTAGGGCAGCACAGTGGGTAAATGGTTAGCACTTCCACCTGGCAGTACTCGGGTCGTTGGTTCGAATCCCAACCGTGGCACCACCTGCCTGGAGTTTGCATGTTCTCCCTGTGTGGGTTACTCAAGTTTCCTCCCACACTCCAAAGACATGCTGGTAGGTGAATTGGTTCCTGTCCAAATTGGCCCTTGTATATGAATGTGAGTTAGGGACCTTAGATTGTACGCTCCTTGAGGGTTAGGGACTGATGTGAATGTACAATATATAGGTAAATGCTGTGTAAATTGACAGCGATATATAAGTACCATAAATAAATCATAATATTCAAAGTAAACGTCCCCATCCATCCACGTCTCCATGCTTTATTTTGAGGAGGAATCTCTTGAAAAACACCCCCTAGCATTTCTGGCCATGGCCATTTTGAATAAGGGCAGATGATTCATGTTACATTTACTTTCTGGTATCCATCTGTCCTTAGCTCAGGCATACAGGCAGGAGGGTGTGCTTAGCTTGGAAACCCCTCCTCCCTTCATGAAGACTCCTGGGATGTATGACATCATTTTGACTAGGCCTGGAAACCTGGAAGTAACTGAAGAAATGTAAAAAAAAGTTTAAAACAAGTCAGTCTAATATACCTTGCTAATTATTTACTAATGCTAGCAGTGTAAGGAATACAAATAGTCAGTGCTGATTGGGAGAGTGAAGTTCCACTTTACATATAGTTACATAGTTAGTCTGGCTGAAAAAAAGACAAAAGTCCATCCAGTTCAGCCATTAAAAAGAAAAAAAAAAAAGAAAAAAGTTATAATCCTACACCCACAGTTAATCCAGAGGAAGGCAAAAAAAACCCAGCAAAGCACAATCCAATTTGCTCCTGCAGGGGAAAAAATTCCTTCCTGATCCCCCGAGAGGCAATCGGATATTCCCTGGATCAACTTTCCCTATAAATGTTATATCCAGTTATATTCTGTGTATCGTAGTAGGTAAGCTGCGTGTATTTATTAGTGTTAAATTTTTAATTTGTATAGAGCAATTAATCTGAAGACAATAAATGTTTGCTTAAAGTGTTACTCCACCTCAGGGGCGGACTGACCATTTGGAAACTCAGGCACTGCCCAGGGGCCCCATGAGATTCCCTGGTACCTTTTTCATAGGCTTTTTTGAGTTTGGGCAAGGACACAGGGGCCCCATGATCCCCTATTGCCTGGGGGCCCCATGAGTTGTCAGTCCGCCCCTGCTCCACCTTTACAAAAAAAAAAAAAAAAGAGGTGAACTTGCAACACCGTCCCCCATTGTATTGTCCGTGCCCACACAGCCCATCCAGGGGTCTGAAATCCCCGTTCCTCTCTGTGCAGTGCTTCCAGGATGGATCACAGCAATGCTCTGACAATGCTGACAAACCAGAATTGCTCTGGTCCATCCTACAAGCACTGCACAGAGAAGAGCGAGGGATCCCAAATTCCTGCACGGCCTGTGTGGGCACTAACAGTTCAGAATTCCCAAAGGTAAGTACAGCAAAGATTGGGGGGTGGGGAGGGTGAAGGGTGTTCACCTTCCATTTTTTTTTTTTTCCTGTAAAGGTGAGCGAACACTTTTTAAATATAAGTTGAGGAACACAATTCTCGTCTCCACCGCAGCACTTTGGTTCCTGTGTGCCGATTCTTTGTTCTCTCAGTCAGGGAGCACCCACTGACCACTCCATAGTAGTCCCCCTGCCCTTCTCCTCAGGACTACATGTCCCATAATTTCATACACCACCATAGCCTCTGAACATGCCTAGCAGGCAGTGTTGTAGCACGGGCTTGACTTTTGTCTTCTGGGAGCATACATGGAAGAGTGGCTCCATGGGAGCCTTAAAGGCAACAGGTTCCCCTGAAAACAGCGACACTAGCGTAGAGAGGACCAGCACAATTAGGGCTCGTTCACACTTGACTGTTTTACCAACGCTTACCAAACGCCCCCTATAGCGTTTGGCAAGCGCTGGTCCGGCGTTTGCGGTGCGTTTTTTAACGCGCCGCAAATGCCGCATGCGCGGTTTAGTGGCGGTTGCTAGGCGTTTGCCGAGCGTTAAAAACGCCCCACAAATTCCTAGAATGAAGTTTGAATGGTGTTATCGCTCAGCAACGCCCCGCAACCGCGTCGCAACCGCATACGCCGGCCGGGCGTTTGCGGAGCGGCACCATAGACTAGAATAGGAGGCTTCAACGCTTCCTGACTCGACCAGAGACGTCCGTTTTGCCGTGACGCTAACGCTCCCGTTAGAACAGCACCGTGTGCTGCAATGTGCAGAATTGTCCAAGGAGTTTGGGAAGCGGTAAAAACGCTTCCCAAACGCCTCTCTGCCACCTGCACACAACGCTAGTGTGAACGTAGCCTTAGGGAGAAGGAACAACAGTTGCACAGTAAGAGGCAAAACCTAGCTTAGGTCTTGATTTCAGAAGTTGAAATTGTTTTAATAACACTTTTATCAGAAAAACTGCTGGTTTTTCCACTTGCCGTTCGGTCACATTAGATTTTTGTCTTGTCTGGGCATTGGGCAAGGCTGGTTAACAGTGTATTTTGGTATGAAAGGGCCCTTAATCCTGTCTAGAGACACAGCTGAAACGGGCATTATCTGCATCTTATACAGTGACACTCTGTCCATCTGTCACAGCATTTAACGCTTACTTATCTGATATGTACACAAATTAGAATTTTATGACGTGTTGTTTGGCCTCTATGATTAGAGGGAAGCATACAGTAGCAGGCACCACTGGCCACTTCCTCTCAGGCAAATAAGGCAGGTCGTATCATGCTCTAGGGTGGCATTTTTTCAGGGGGACAGCAAAATTTTTCAGGGGGGCAGCGCCACCCCTGAAAGAAGGGATGTAAGAAAGGACACAAACAGTATGAGCAACAGGTGAGATCTGAGAGAGGCTTAGGGCTGCTTGATGGAGTATGCAGAGCCCGACTCTTGTTCCCGGAGATGTCCGGAGCTTTGAAGGTGAGTGTTTTTTTTTTTTTTTTCTCACTGGGGTGGGGGGTTCCCAGTGCATGGGGGGCGGTGGTAGTAGTGGAAGGCTGTCTCAGGTGGGGTGTTGTTGGTCAATGTCAGGCTCTTATCATGGGGGAGGGAGTGTTTGTCAGGGTCAGGGAGGAGCCGATTTTTGTGTTGCCTAGGGCAACACGAAACCTAAATACACCACTGCGTTCACTAGTGGGTTGAACGAAAAAAATGAACTGGTTTCCCCATCCATACATATGATGTGGGTGGGGAGAATGCTTCTGCTGAGCCTTTGTAATATGACAGCAGGGAGCCTTCCTCACTGTCAGATTCCAGTGATCAGTATTTCCGGCTGTAGCCAGCGGCACTGGTCGATTGGGGAAAAATGCGAAAGGCTGGTTGTAAACAAGTTGATAGATATAACCAGTCTGCCCATACATGGATCGAAATTTGGCCAGTCCCCAGCCGAATTTCAATCTATGTGTGGCTGCCTTAACAAGCTGAGCCCAAACACATTGCTTAAAGTGAAGCTCCGGGCTCCCCCCCCCAAAAACTTAAGTCAGCAGCTACAATAATATTGTTGATTACCTTTAATATAAGGACACTTATCTGTCCAGGGATCCAGCGATGTCCTCACCCGAGCTGGTTTTACAATTGGCTTCGGATGCTGGCGCCGCCATCTTCAGTAAGGGAAACTGGAAATGGAGCCTTGCGGCTTCACAGCCGGTTTCCTGCTGCACATGTGCAAAAGCGTGCTGCGCTCTGTGAATAGGTGGGCCAGTGGCTTCTGGGGCCTGTGAATTGTTCCAAAAGGTTGCAGGGGGGGGGGGGGGGGGCTGACTTCCAGCTCAGATCGCTGCAGTGCTCAGACCCAGAGGTGGGTGTGGATACCTGTCAAAACCAGGAACCTACAACCCCCCCCCCCCAAAATGACAAAAGTGGCAGTGGAGGGGGGAGGAGGCAGACAGGCAGACCTTCCCCTTTTGGATGGAGTTCATCTTTAAATATGGGTAGAGGTCTCCCCAATTTGTGACATATACCGTATATACTCGAGTATAAGCCGACCCGAATATAAGCCGAGGTACCTAATTTTACCACAAAAAACTGGGAAAAACTATTGACTCGAGTATAAGCCGAGGGGGGAGGAATAGTGCCCCATCGTTGGTGTCAGTGGGGGGAGGAATAGTGCCCCATCGTTGGTGTCAGTGAGAGGGGAGGAATAGTGCCCCATCGTTGGTGTCAGTGGGGGGAGGAATAGTGCCCCATCGTTGGTGTCAGTGGGGGGAGGAATAGTGCCCCATCGTTGGTGTCAGTGAGGGGAGGAATAGTGCCCCATCGTTGGTGTCAGTGGGGGGAGGAATAGTGCCCCATCGTTGGTGTCAGTGGGGGGAGGAATAGTGCCCCATCATTGGTGTCAGTGGGGGGGAGGAATAGTGCCCCATCGTTGGTGTCAGTGGGGGGAGGAATAGTGCCCCATCGTTGGTGTCAGTGGGGGGAGGAATAGTGCCCCATCGTTGGTGACCCCTGCTCCACCCTGGGCTCGCTCGCTCCCTTCCTCTCCCATGGTATACACTTACCGGTCAGATGTCTTCCTTCTCCGGCCGCTTTCCTCCTCTTCACTCGCTCGATCTTTGCGGTGCCGCTCGGCTCCTCCTCTCCGAGCTCCACCTCCTCGCCGGTGATTGGGCGCCTGTGTGCCTCTCCTGAGCTACAGTTCCGGCGGCCAATCACCGGCGAGGATTGATCCCGGGGGTGTGTCCAGATGACAGGGACGGCATGTCATCCCGCCCACACCTGGAGACGGTTGACTCGAGTATAAGCCGAGGGGGCCGTTTTTCAGCACAAAAAATGTGCTGAAAAACTCTGCTTATACTCGAGTATATACGGTAGTCTTTCTGTCCAGGCTGTTTAGCACAATACGGTTTATTTTGTCGTGATTGGCCTTTTAGGTTTTCTGTAGAAAATACTTTACTTTTGTTTGCATTAGAAGAATGCCATTAGGGTAACATGGTCTATGAGTTTAAAGTGGTTCTAAGGGAGATGGATACATAGATGGATGGATACATAGATGGATGGATACATAGATGGATGGATACATAGATGGATGGATAGATGTAGCTATAGATAGATATAGATATAAAATATAACTTTTTTAAAACAAATAACATGTTTTGCACAGAACAGCCCTGATCCTTCTCTTTTTTTGGGTCTTGCTATGGGGGCACTGAAATGGGCTTGCTCCCAAGCCGCCCTCTGTGCATCCATTCACACACAGCGCGGCTTGATCCTGTCCCCCACTCTCCTCATTGGCTCACTGGTTGTGATTGACAGCAGCAGGAGCCAATGGCTTCCACTGCGGTGTGAGACACTGGGGAGAGAGACCCAGTAGAGCCGCTGCTCACCTGCACATCACTGGATCAAGATGGGACTCCGGTAAGTAATAGTAGGGCCTGGGGGGGGCTGCACCCAGAAACCCTTGAGCCTTCAGAATCACTTTAAAGCCTAAATGCTAGCAGGCAGTTTGGCCCGTCTGTATCAAATCCCAGTGTTTTTGGACACCCAGAAGCACAGGTGTAGCATGCAGACTCGCTGCCAACAGTCTATTAAAATGATGTCCTGAAATACACAGCGGGCTGGACACCGTGCCGAACGGTACTTGCATTTAGAACAGTATGCGTTCAGTGACGACTGCCTGGAATGCAGAAATTCAGAATATCATACCTGGATAGGCTGCTGGCAGTGGGGCTGAATACTGCATTTGGTCTTCCTGGGTGCTTAATTGCTGGAATTTGATGTTTACTGGCCAAACCACCAATCTGCACGTAGCCGTAAATTGGACTGGACGTCAGAGTGATATCAATGGGATAGACCCCAATATTTAGTGTTTAATCTACTCTTACTACAACAAAAACAAAAATAACAGTAATTGACATGTGAGTACACACTAGGAAGGTAGTCTGAAATGTTCGTGGCCCGACACGGAAGGAGTGACCACACAGACATGGAACTTTATCATTGCACCAAGCTGCTCTTCCAGATGTTTAGCACTGAAAATGGCACATGCGTGTTATACGTTGTTTTTTTTTTTGTACTCTACAAATATTTGGCACCCCCTGTAGTCAAGTTAAAAAAGGAGAAAGTGAAAGAAGGCGGCTTGAAATGTTCCAGCAAAGTGATGGCAACAGTCTTCTAGGACCCTGAGGGTGTGCGCAGCACGCAGACGATTGGCTGTCA